TACAAACCCATTTAAACTGTTTGTCAGGCTAATGCAAGACCTAGATGGTTCCATGGATGAATGAAGATTTAGTTACACTAGAATGGCAAATACAGAGCAGTTTTAGCTATAGTATCTTTGTTGGAGCATTTTAACATAGCCCTTGACACCATATATGGAACTACCAGCTTAATTTCTTTTAAAAGTAATTCCTTATCAATAAAGATAATCAGAAGCAGTTTGCCTTTACAATGCAGGGACAACATACTTTCACCATCTTACCCTAAGGCTAGGTCAACTCTCCTCTCTTTGCCATAATATAGGGCAAAGAAATCTTGTTCATCTTGACATCTCACATAACATCAACCTAGGGCATTACCTTCATGGTATTATACTAGTTGGATTTGGTGAGAAGGAAGTAGTAAACACTAAAATGTCTCATTAAGATATATGCTGGAGGATAGGAGGTGATCTCTATGAAAAGTTGAGACACCTGCAGCACTGGTGAAATTTTGGGGGCCCAGCAATGCAGGCATGTGGAAACAGAGCCTCTACAGTAAGTGATAAGTTGCTGTACCTTGTACCTTTCATCATGAAGGAGGAGGCAGAAAATGTGGTGCCCCCTCTTTGAATTTCAGAAACAAGATATACTATGTTTGGGTATTCCGCTCTGATGCATGTATTCAATAATCCACAAGGCTGTCAACCTTGAGAGCGGACTGGGGCAAGAAAGGTATACTGGGACTGCAGTATACCTCTGCTGCAGTGAAAGCTGCCATGTAGACCTCTGGCTCTAGGATCCAGCAATGCCACAGTTTTTGGAAATGCATGTGTTAAGCAAAGATGGTGTGTGATTTAATTTCTACTGCAGGATCGGAGTGTAGATCCCCAATGGAGGAAATATATGTGATCGTCTCAATAATGATCTGCCAATTGAAAAGTGCCTCCTAATTTGCTATTGGACTCTTGTTAAGACTGAGTATTAGGACATGAAACTCCAAATGACTGTGTGGCTCAAACAATACAAAATGAACTATGTGTTAATCTGATTCAATATACAAAATAAGATGTGCATAAGAGCATTTCATTATTAAATGAAATGGACCACACAGGTCTGGGAAGCCCAAGAATATAATTCATGAGCAAGTAGTTCACGTGTCTCTGATACCTGCCACTACTGCTCCACAATCTCTCACAATCTGGCCTCATGGGGTCTTCTCAATGACCAATTAACATAGGATAAAACTGCATGAACGAACCTGTGAATGGACTGCATGGCATTTGGTACTAGCTGCAACTATTGTACTAGAGGCCCAATGAAGAGGGCTCCCTCTAAATCCTAGTGGTAAAAAGATAACCCCTCCAGCTGTACAGTTTGTATGTAAGAAAAGATAGATGAGGAAATGATAGATGGCATGGCCATATGGTTAAGGACTTGGAAAAACAAGACTGGAAGATTGGAGATAGAAGGTTTGGGGGAGAGTTATGCATATGTGCCTCTCAGAACTGGTACAAAGTGTGACAATATGGTATCTTACATGAATTCCCTCCAGAGGGCATCCATTGTGGAGGAGGCTGTGAGTAGTCTGGAAAAGATTATGTGATGGGTGACTCAAAACAATCAGATAATCTATACTATGGGTATCAGATTCTTTACCTAGCTACCCTAGTGCCTGCTTAAGTGGCCCACGTACAAAGTGAAAAGAGGAGCAATGATGGAAACTCTACAGACTTCGACAACATAGATTTCCCTCATTCCGTGACTAATTTAACTACTACAACTGCTGATACACCACCTTCCAATGCTGGGACCCTGATATGGCACTGTTCTCCAAGGGGATCAACTGTCAATTAGTGACTGGCGGATTACAATGAACTTCTTTCCACCTGAAGGAGGGAGAAATTTATTCTCATAGGAATTGATACATATTCAGGATATAGATTTACCCTCCCTTCCTTCAGTGCTTTTGTATGCTCCTCCTCACCTGGATGTAACAGAATGCCTTTAACAACCACTACAGTATTACTTAAAATATTGACTTTAGGCAGGAAATTCTTTTCAAGGCAAAGGAAATATAGCAATGGTCCCAAACCATTTCCAGATTTCACTAGCCATATCTCATGCCACATTATCCAGAATCATTTGGCCAAATGGAGTATACTGGCCCACAAGTGGCATGGTTTATGTATGGCTGCTAGCTAGGAGAAGTTTGAGCATGTTCTACAGGATATGATAAATGCCTAAAGTCATCTATCACCCCCACTGCCACAGAGCATAAGTTTGATTACAAAGAGGTAGTAGTGGCCACAATACATCAAATAACCCATTTAAAGGGTTTTTGCTTCCTGTGCTGAAACCTTGGGATTGCTGATTTTGGAGATCTCAATGGCCAAAAGTTTCCACCAGGGACCAGAGTTCTGTTACTATTTTATTGAAAGCTGAGACTGCTCCCTGCCTATATGGGGCATTTCAAGCTGCTGAATTAACAGAAAAAGAAGTAGGCTGGTAAAATTTCCAGATTACCAAAATGATTTGGGGTTGTTGCTATATGATATGGGCAAGGACAACTAAGTTAGAAGCTCAGCACATTTATTGGGACACCTCTAACAAAAACTTGTCCAATAATTCTGGTTATTGAAAAGCTATAGTAATCCAAGGAAGAAAAGGTCCCCAAATAATCATAACGTTTAGGAATTAGGCTGTGGATCACCCATCAAAGAACCTTGGACAGCCCAGGTGCTAAAAAGAGGGTGAAAGTAAGGGGAAGATGGAATCAGCAGTGGATGAAGAAAGGTATAATGACCAACTTGAGCTCTCTGATCAGTTAGAGAAGCATGGATTTTGGCAGCTATGTTTTATGCTTCATCTATTATGAACAGCATTGGTGATGGCTAGTATTTCAAATTCAAAGTATGTCTGAGCTGATATCACACCTTAATAAAGCAGTAGGTGGATGACACCCATTTGTCCCTTTCATAAACTCCCCTTATTAGGCAATTTGAGCATATCTATTTATATATCTGCAAAAGCCATAACTTAGTATACCAAATTGCAAAATCATAATGGCAATTATAGAGACTTATATCTTTTTTTTTGAACCTCAAAGTAGCAAAGTATTTATTTACAAAATTTACAGTTTCATAGGGAATGACCTAGCTGTGAAGTGGTTAGGGCTCCATGTTTTCACTGCAGGGTCACAGGTTTGATCCCTGGTAGAGGAACTAAGATCTTGCAAGTCATACAGAACAGCCAAAAATAAAAAATTACAGTTTCTTAGAAAAGCTTTGCTCTATGCACATCAACTTTATAATTATATTGAACCACATAAATTATGGTGTCTGGCCATGCCAAAGCCAATGTAAGGGACTGACTTCTGAGCACCAGCATTCCCTCCCCTCACTCCACTAGACATCAAACAGGAGCCCCCAGATGAGCCATGCCTAATATGTGCGAAGAAACTGAGTGTAGCTTCCCAGCTCAGTCTAATACAAAAACCAAGGTGTCTTGACTTCTTAGACACTACCCACAGGGATAAACCTCTTAAAAGAGCAAAAAAAAGAAATCAAGGAAACAGAAATTGAGATGAAGGTTAAATGCCTTCTGGAGGCTTCACCAGACAATGAACCTTCCAGAAGCAATCTAGCAATCACTAGGTAGAGTAAATGTATACATCAAACCATGATACTTAAAACAACACAATTTTGTAAATTTTGTAAAGAGTGAAATACATGCTTACAGCTATATTTTTGCCTCAACTTCATTCCCATGGAAAGCTATGTTTTGTATTAATATAATCCTTGGTTAACTGACTAATACTTTAATAAGCCAGAGCTCATGGCCAGCTAAAGGAAATAACTGTCAGGTCTTAAAAGTATCTTTCAGTAAAGAATACTTCTTATAATAAAACAATACCACTTTAATATATAATTTTCATAGCATAATTTCTAAATAAAATATAATGTGTCATGGTTGGAAACTGCCTTAAGTCAGGGAAGAGTATAAAGCATATACTTAAAATATTTTGATATTTTAATATTTCATCAATTTATTTTTTAATCGAGTTAATGTCTAGAATAGTTTTACATATTTCATATTCATGTTAAAAAAACTGGGTAAAGCCTTAAGGATTAATAGGAAAAATGTAAAGAAAGATAATACAAGCATTACCTCACAACCCACAGTACTCTGTCAATTTGTCAATGTAGATGAAAATATCATGTTCATGATATCTTCATATTAAAATTAAATTTTAATATGTCATTATGAACAGAAGGAGCATATAAAACTGACTTGAGAGTATTCTATATTAATTTTCCACCTTTAACTTCTTGGTTATGGTAATTCATGCTAAAAGTCAAATGAAATTCATTCAGATTTCTAATCATTCTTTTGCCTTTATGCACTATATTCTGGCATTTAAAAAAATCAAACAGTCTAGATTTTTCTAATGATGATTTATAGAGAAGCAGAGAAAAGTTTCAGAGAGCATCCAGTGACTATAGTTTGAAAGTTAAAGAAACAAGGAGCGTTAAAATGAAATATAAAATACCCTCACAGCCAATTTTCTAATGAACATATTTTCAAGTTTAAAATAGTTATATTTGACAACCCTTGAAGTCCCAGCCCAGGTACTCTATCAGTCAAAAAAATCACAGCTTTCCTCTCCTCTATGCTAACATCAACATTTTTTTACTGGGTTTTCCATTATTCTGGATTAACCACAATTACTTCATTAATAACTATAAAATTTAAAAATTATAGAAAATTTATGTAACAGCTGTTTTCATCAATGTCTTAAAACTCTTCAGTTGAAAGTACTCCTTTCTGCCAAGTCTATAAATCTAAAAAAGAAGGGCCAAATGCATCCTGCAAAATCTGTCAGTTATTCAATGTATAAAAAAAAAAAATCTACTACATTCTCAGCTACGTACCAAAGCTATAAGTTACTTTGAATTATTCTATAGCACACTTCTGAATTCCCACATTTTAGTTTTCTTCTTAAAGAGCTGGTGGCACTTACCAGAGTGGGTCCTGAGGTGTCCTGTGAGGGCGTCCCTTCTTCTACAGGCATAGCTACAGAAAGGACATTTGAACGGCTTCTCTCCAGAGTGTAACTTTATGTGTCTCAGAAGGTTGCCCTTCTGAGTAAAAGAAGCTCCACACTGGTTACAATGAAAGGGACGTTCACCTGCAGAAGGGTAAAGAGGTGGGGAAGATCGAGTAGGTTATGTGCCAGTGACTAATTGGATCTACAGTGTTAACCAAAGCTAGTTTTCTGTGCTGAGAATGTCCATCTCCCTCCTATGTCCTCTAAACCTTTATCTTCCTCAAATTTGCTTTGCTAATACCAAAGTTCCAAACTTTAGGTCAAGTGCCATTTCCTTTCTTCATATAAATTTTACAAGATTCTTGTCACTGACTGGAAAGAACAACAATCAGAACATTGGCCACTGGTTGAACAACTAGGCGCCATCAATTAACTGGTGTTACAGGTTTTTTTATATACAGTATTTCAAACCACAGGATGGCATTACTAATTTTGCATTAATAACTTCAATTTACAAATAAATGGAAGTTTAAATATCAAAGCATCTGATTATAGCCACAGATAATAAGTACTGGAGTTGATCATGACTCTTGGTCAATCTGACTGCAAAATCTTGCTCTCTTTATTGTACCATGTTATTATCTCTTAAAAAAAAAAATGACTGAAACTTTGAGCTAAAAAGGACCTATAGTCTAACTCTCTAGCTGATCATTTTCTTATCAGGGGGCCAAAGAGATTCAATGAATGAACTGGGTTACAAAGCTCATTACCACAAAAATCTCAAAATAGAGCTTAGGTCTATCGATTTACCCAGTCACTAACAATAAAACCTGTGGCAAAATTTCCTGATAGAATCAGAGAAAATCCAAAGAAAATTATTCGTCCAGATATTTCCCGTACATATATTCTCTTTTTCTTGTGAAAATAATTTATTTGATGGGAACATTTTCTACTATTACTGATATTGCTCTAAAATTGTTTAAGCCAGAATTATCAATTGTCAACTGGTAGCCATCAACTGGCTGTCAACAGAGTCATCAAAGGTAAAAACATGTAGTTTGGTGAGGGTGTGAAACTGGCAAGTAGGATCAAACTAATAACATCACCAAACCATCATGAACTACTCCCTTTAAATATGTCTATCTTAAGATAGACATAAAATTATAAATATGTAAATAATACATATGTGTTAAAACTCAACACTAGAATAAGAATTAAATTAAAAAACAATTCCCTTTTGGTTGAACTAGACCATGTCTGTACTTGAGGTTAGATAATGACTATAATTTTAATAGTTCTCAAAAAATTTTACACTGAATTGTCAAGTTTCTTATCCTTAGCTGAAACATTCATAATAACAGTGAATAATGAAACTACAATATATTTGGGGGAGGACTTTCAAATAATACAAACTCAATGATTCTTTTTATTAAAGAAAGCTAGGAGGGATAAATAAAATTAACTATGGTCACCTTCTAGCAGTTCCCACTGCATTCTATCATATAGATTATAAAGCCTAAAGAAAAACTGACAGATCAGATGTATCTTAAATTCTGTAATTATTGCTCATTCTGGAATGTAATGAGATATATTTAAAAAAAAAAAAGTAACCTGTGTGTGTGTGGGTAGCAAAATTTTAGGTTTTTTTCTTTGGACATCTTATGATGTAAGCTTACAAAAAGTCCCTATATTTATGATTGAAAAAGAATTATCCACAATGTTAAAGTTGCCTTAAATTTTATCTGGTTTAATTTCTTTGATTCATTTGGTAAAACTGAAAAATTAGCACTAAATACAGGTTAAAATGGAGACATTTAACCTAAAACCTCTCATATGATATCTTATAAATTAAAAATAAATCTAATTTTGGTAAATCATTTTTTAAATTTTATACACACAGACATACACACATATAAAACTTAATTCTTTGACTTTTTTCAATGGAATAACAGCCTAAAGGTTTTTAAAATCAGAATATTCTACTCCCCACTCATGTCATGGAATTAGTAATAAAAAGGAAAGAGGATTTTATTATTGAGATTAACTTTTTAGAGAGTTAAAAAAATAGCAAATGCAAATTACACATTTTAATAAATATATTTGATTTAACTTTTGAAATCTAAGGTTTCCCAGGCAATAACAAATTAGTACTCAATAACTTTAAAACAAATGAATATTTTGAACAAAAATACCTGAAACCACAATTGCCTTGGGAAGATACTCCTAGTAGAATACTAAATTTGATTTTATTTAAGCCTCCTACAATCTTTGAGTTGAAATATTTTAAAATCCCTAATTTAGGTTACTGAATTCATCATTCAAAATAATGTTAATCTGAAAAATAACAGTAAGGATCACTTTTTAAAAATAACTATTAATTCACTTAATTATGAGACTAATGACAGGGTAATTTAGTTGTTACATTTACAAAATACTCCAGATATCCTCAAATATTTTTAATAAGAATTATTTCTGTATTTATATGATCATCTTAAAGGGGTAGGAGAAATGTCTAATTATAGCCAGAAACATTGCCCTGTTGCTGAGTAAGTCTTAGTGAGCAGGCGTTTGCTAATTCTGTTCCCATGGCCATGGGAAGGGAAGAAAGAGGCATGAGGAAGGTAATGGTCATGAGCCCATTTTTGGTAAGAGGAAAGAGACTATGGCAATAATGCACTTTGATTTCAAGCAAATGAAGCTTTGAGAAATAATGATTTTCCTGGCTTACATCTTATGTGTAAAATTATCTGATAATTAACTGAAAGGTTCAGTTGACTAAATGTATTGTCTATGTAACTTGAAACAATACATCTCAGTTATTTTTTAATAATTTGATTTTCTTTTAATACATCGACTGAATCAGTTAGTCCTTTTCAAGTTGTTTTAAATATATATTAAACATTACATATTGTCTTAAATATATATATTAATCACATTCTTCACAAGTAAACAAAAACAACTTTCAGGAGAAATTTACAAAGTTACTAAACACATCATTAACACTATAGAGTAAATTCAATTCAAAAACATTAGGTAGGCTATTGTATCTGTGATAATCTTCCAATGGGTAGGCACCGAAGTCTGGATTAAGAACTCTGGATTCAGGAGAACAATTAAGATGTAGTCATGTAGCCACATTGTTGTTCATTTCCGTCCTAAATCTGTTTCTTTTTTTTTTTTTTAAATCAATCTACTCATCTAGTCAAGGACCATTTTTATTCATTGAATGAAGTTATCTACTATTCTTATAATGGAATAAATTATATTTCAATATTTTATGTATTTTCATAAACACATTTCTAGATCTGAGTTTATTCAATTGAAATGCAAATATACATGCATCAGTTTACTTTGGTGAATCAAAGGCAGAGGGTATGCCTGTGTTGGCTGGAACCACCACCTACAAATACGAAAAATCCCAACTATGTGTAGAGAGGGCCTTGGAGTAAGAGAATGGTTTCACAAAGCTGCAATGGACAAAATATGGTGTTGAAAACTTAAGTTACAAAGATGAGAGTACTCTACCTCAAAGAGAGGCAAAATTAAGAATATTCTATATTTATAGTGTTTGTATCAATTTGTGTTCATGCGTGAATTGATTTACTACCCCTACTTCTTTTCCTCTCACTTCATTCCCAGTGAAGAGTGCCTGGAGTATCCGATGACAATATTACCTGATTACCTACTAAAGTAGCAATACCAAAGAGGTAACACCAAGTCATTAATAAGGCACTGGAACTGACATTTTAGTAGAGCATGAAAGAGGAAGAAAAAGAAGTGAATTAGAGCTGATACTCCATGTCATTTGAATAAACTGGGTGATTGTGTATTTTTTCCACTATCAATTTGATATTAGACATTCTGTGAGCTAAAAACACAGAAGCCTATGTTTCTCAAAGGGATTTAAGGATTGAAGACAGTGTCTTTTATATTAGCAAGCTATAAATAGTTGGTGAAAGGGGGAAGTTCTAAAATGAAGATAGTTCATCAAATTAAGGATGAAACATTTGCTTAATGTCTATATTTCAACTTCATTTTTTGCCAATCTAAAGAAACACAAATAGACTTTCTATTCTCACAGTGCTAAAATGGAATTGAAAATGTCATGACCCACTAAGACACATAAACTGGGTCATCAGAAATACACATAAAAATGGCTAATTTAAAGACACATCACAATTTCATGGTTAACAATGTGTGGCATGAAGCCCAAGCACCTCTATGAATTGTTAGTAACTTTTAACAAAAAACCACCCAGATCTGAGAAAAGTGTAAAAATTTCCCAATACTCTAATAAATATTTATTAGTATTAAAAATTCATAGAGTCCCAAGAAAATTTTTTAGAAGTCTGTTTAGTTTATTTTCCTTGTCTTTACCAACTGAGTGAATCCTATAATTCCAGGACTCATGGAAATCTGTGTAACTATTTAGAAATAGTTTCCTGGTGGCTCAGATGGTAAAGCGTCTGCCTACAATAAAGGAGACCCGGGTTCAATCCCTGGGTCGGGCAGATCTCCTGGAGAAGGAAATGGCAACCCACTCCAGTATTCTTGCCTGGAAAATCCCACGGACAGAGGAGGCTATAGTCCATGGGGTCGCACAGAGTCGGACACGACTAAAGCGACTTAGCACCAGCAGCAGCAGCAGCAGCAACTCTACTTTATAGTAAATATCGAATGGACAGTACAGTAGGTGGGTAATTATTTCTGCATATAAACCAAAAATCCTCCTGAAAGTCACTGTAGATACACTGAAACATCAATTAACCTAAATTTTCAACAGAGTACACTCAGATTTTTTTAATGTTCTTAACTCAGACCAAAAAAGGTTTATTAAAAATGTTACAAAAATTTTTTTAATATATTTTTCAGCTTTAAAATGAATACTATTTGCAATTCAACTGTAAAGTCACTCTACTAATTTTATTTAGTTTCTACATTGCTAGATGTGAGACGGAGACATCCCAAAGTGTGTTATTTCCCTCAATATAATCTCTCTGAGATGACGGGTGTATCATAACTTTGCGGATCTCTTCTTTTAGAACTGCAGTTAGAATAACTTCATGAGCATAGAAACGAAGTAGACTCATATTTTAGAGTATTTTTCTTTCTTCTTACCAACATCATACTTAGCTTGATCTTTTAATTTTATCCATGAGGCATTTTCAACAATTAAAAGAAAAATCATCTTTACTAGTAATACAAATATTACTATAAATTCTAAAAAATATTTTAAAAATATGGTGCTATTTAAAAAGGAAATTCAAAACAAAAAGTAAAAATGTAACTGACTGTGTGATTGGATAAGAGTGTAGGCCCTGAAGCTGATGATTTCAATTAAGGTAACAGTGATTCTAATGTGTAGTTTTTCATGATAATGAAACTATCGGCCTTAGAGTATTGATATATGAAGCACAGAATATTTGAACAAAACCACTTTGGACATCAGGAAACACTGAGTCTAGCCTCAAAATGCTCTTAACTGCATAAGGGATGATGGATAAGTCACTTAACTGTTTTGGGCTTCGTTTTCTTCATGAGTAAACGAGAAGTTTGGACTAAGAAGACATCAATGTTTCCAGGCTCTCTTGTGTTTTAAGCAACTACTTACTGAACTGATTATTTAGAAGTCTTTTAAATCAATGTCTTTACTATGCTTTACCTCTCTTCCAAAAGAGCATCATATTTTAAAATTCTGAGGGTATGACTTATTACTGCTTTGCACTATAATACCTCTCTGAATTGTAGTTAAAGCTATCATTACCTTTAAATCAAATTTCATATGAATTTGAAACTTTTTAAGAGTCAAGGATCCACCTACCTTATCACAGTATCATTTCTTGCATTTACATCAAAAAGAACTTAAATCTTTTACCAAAGGATTTAAAGAGATTTAAATAAGGCCTTGAGTCTCACTGAGTTGGCTTTTCACGTTACTCAGATGTCTAAAAGTATATTAATCTGAGGTCCTTTTCTTCACCTCATTCTATGATTACACATTTCTACCACCCATTGTTAACATTCTACCCTATGTTATCTCCTTGCAGGAGTTATAGTTAAAAATTACAGGGAAAGGGTGACATCCTGGAACTGGGGAAAATAAGTTTCTGCCTCATACACAGATCCATGGAAGGCAAAGACTGAAAATTGTATTTCAAGAAGTTAATTAGATAAGGTGAAAATGATCCACTGTTATACAAATGCATGAGGACCACATTATAGGATAAACGTTTAGCTAGCAAATTCTATTCTCTGCCCATGGGTATGGTAAAATATGTATAGGAGTACAAAAAGATCAAGTTACACAGTGAAATTCTCCTATACCTTTTGAACCCTCATCATATTATTGCTATATTAAGAACTGTGGAAACTGAATCCCAAACTTCTTTTTGAAATGCTATTCAGATCTGAAGGCTGGAAGTCAAGACCCAGGCTACTTGCTGCTTTTCAGCAATCCAATACTAGCAGAATTCTGAAAAAGGAGTTTCACCATTGCCACCCCTGAATAAAAAGGAAAGAGAATAGATGTCAGGTAATATCAACATCAGATGTCACAGGCAGTCATCAGGTTATTCTTTCAGCTGCTTACCAGTGTGACTCCTTTTATGTACCATAAGCACATTGGGCCCAATGCAAACCATGCCACAGACGTCACATTTCAGTTTACCATTCGGAAGCCGGATTCCTCCCTCGCCTTGAAGCTCCTGGACTTTCCTGTTGTCTGCCACCTCGCTGCTTTCAATTAGGGGTTCTTCTAGGCTGCTACCCTCATCATGGCCCCTGATCTCATCTTCGCGGCTCAGGGGTTTCCTGTCACACTCTTCATCACTCTGCATTTCTAGCTTTACTGAATTTGCTGTAATTTAAGGAAGAAAGGAAGACACTTTGAGTGCATGTTATGTGCTGTCACCTACCTCTCTTTCCCACGCGTTGCCATTCTATTAAATGGCTGGAAATGCTGCAGCATACAGCATATTCTCTACAGAATAAAGTCCATCCCTCATGCAACATTATACGTGCTTTGCTCCAAGGTATTCCAGTGAAGCTTTGGTATGAAAGTGAAGATGACCTAGGGAAGCTCAAGGTAAACAGAATGATGCTTGATTTTTACACACGTGTTTTTCTTTAACTCAGGGATGCGCTTTTTAAGCAAGTCCTTAAACAACTGGTATTGTTAGACTTTTGAGTTTGTCACTAAGGTGACTGAGATAGGATTACGAAAAGGACAAGATGAGATACTACTTAACCCACTGAGCGACACCTCTTCTTAACATAACTACACACACACACACACACAAATTCATAGTCTCTGTTTTCCATTAGAGCACTTGTGTAAACCTGCCTTTGAAATGAGCAAGAGAAACAACTCGGGATATTAGGCCAGTCTTAGACACATGAAGTCACCAAGGCAAGGCAAATGTTCTAAAAATCAGACTAAATACATACAGTCAGTTGAGAGCTATACAGATGAAGGGCAGAGTGCACAGAACTCACATGCTCCTAAGCGACTCTGTTTTTTATTTCCTGTGTGAAAAAAGTTCTCTATAGAACATATTAGACTGCAAATCAAAGTATTCCATCTTTAATCTATGCACACCAAAAAGCAGTGAATGACAGGAATGGCATAGCATGCATGCACGCACTTGTGACTGTTAAGAAATTTAATGCCTTCTGTTTGCTGTTTTTGGATCATCCCACAGAAAAGTTGGAATTTTGTTAGCACAGCCCTCATGCTGGATTGCTGACAGAGTCCTTTCACAGAGCAGAAGCAAGCTTTAAGAGAATACCAGGTTTTACCCACTGATCTTGAAAATTTCTCAAGAAACCATATCAAAGTTACTAAGCAAAACAAATTATTTGGTATTACTTGAATAGAGGAAATATTTTCATAAAAAGGAAGTACATTTTTTTCTCACTGCAATTGTTTTCTTAGAGAAACCACCCCTTCTCTGCCTCTTTCTTAGTTCTTATGATAGGTAGCACATACTATCAAAATGACTCCTCCATACTCCCTCCATGGAACTCCCCTGTGAACCACGGGCAGTGTGGTACAACATAGGGATCACTACATTTAGTTAGGAGAACTGGCTTTGACATTTACTGCAGTATAATCTTGAACCAGTTATTTAACCTCTGAATCTTATGTCTTTCATTTACAAAGTGGAGATTAATTCAGATTACAGAATCAAGTTTAAGCACAATAGTTTAGCTATTAAGAGCAAAGTTTCTAGCAGTGGCACTTAGTATTATAAAAAGAGTGTCACGTTGTGCACATTACTAAGCTCTCCATGTCCTCTACAAAATCGGGATGATAACGGCACCCACTTCCTAGGACAGATGTAAGCATTAAATGTCTAAATATAAAAAATGGGCTTACTATTATTTTTCTTTGGACAAAAGTGTTCTTTTTATTCCATAATGCTTTTGTAAAAATCAATTAACTTAACAGTACATAAATTGACCTAAGAACTACAAAGAGATATATAGCCTTCTTGCCTCATCTCTAATAGAATATGTATATCTTGGGTTTTACCATATTTACAAATTAGCACTGCTTTCCAGGGTTTTGAGCAGAGTATGGAAAATATTTTTCCATCTTAATATTCCAATATGCTAAGATATTTGTGGCATATGAGAGGAATTTCAGGTCGTATTCCCTGAAGCATTTTAATTAACTGATTAAGAATTTTCTTTCTTTAAAGGTATTTTCTTATAAATTTAAAGAGTTCATTAACAGAGTAACAAAAAATTGATCATCATAAAGGACTAGATTTGGAAAAGGCAGAGGAACCAGAGATCAAATTGTCAACATCCACTGGATCATCAAAACAGCAAGAGAGCTCCAGAAAAACATCTATTTCTGCTTTATTGACTATGCCAAAGCCTTTAACTGTATGGATCACAACAAACTGTGGAAAATTCTTAGAGATGGGAATACTAGACCACCTGACCTGTCTCCTGAGAAATCTGTATGCAGGTCAGGAAGCAACAGTAAGAACTGGACATGAAACAACACACTGGTTCCAAACAGGAAAAGTAGTACGTCAAGGCTGTATATTGTCACTCTGCTTATTTAACTTATATGCAGAACATCATGAGAAACACTGGGCTGGATGAAGCACAAGCTGGAATTAAGATTGCCAGGAGAAATATCAATAACCTCAGATATGCAGATGACACCACCCTTATGGAAGAAAGTGAAGAAGAACTAAAGAGCCTCTTAATGAAAGTGAAAAAAGGAGAGTGAAAAAGTTGGCTTAAAACTCAACATTCAAAAAACGAAGATCATGGCATCTGGTTCTATCACTTCATGGAAAATAGATGGGAAACAATGAGAGACTTTATTTTGGGGGGCTCCAAAATCACTGCAGATGGTCACTGCAGCCATGAAATTAAAAGACACTTGCTCTTTGGAAGAAAAGTTATGCTCAATCTAGACAAGATATTAAAAAGCAGAGACATTACTTTGCCAACAAAGGTCCATCTAGTCAAAGCTATGGTTTTTCCAGTAGTCACGTATGGATGTGAGAGCTGGACTATAAAGAAAGCTGAGCACCAAAGAATTGATGCTTTTTGAACTGTGGTGTTGGAGAAGACTCTTGAGAGATCCTTGACCTGCGAGGAGATCCAACCAGTCCATCCTAAAGGAGACCAGTCCTGGGTGTTCATTGGAAGGACTGATGCTGAAGCTGAAACTCCAGTACTTCGGCAATCTGATGTGAAGAACTGACTGATTTGAAAAGACCCTGATGTTGGGAAAGACTGGGGGAGGGAGGAGAAGGGGACGACAGAGGATGAGATGGTTGGATGACATCACCAACTCAATGGACATGAGTCTGAGTAAACTTTGGGAGTTGGTGATGGACAGGGAAGCCTGGCGTGCTGCAGTCCATGGGGTCGCAAAGAGTCAGACAGGATTGAGTGACTGAATTGAATTGAACTGAGCTGAAAGGATTAAAAATGAAAATTATGTCCTTTTCTATCTAAAGTTCACCCATTCCTCAGTTCTGGTCTCAAAATCAACCATCATCTTTGTCTTCTATTTAGAACTGTGTGTGTACATGTACGTATACCCATGTGTATACACAGATCACTCTTTTTACACAAATTGAGCTGACTTTAATTTTCCTTTCTTCAGTTAATAATATCTGTTCAATATTTTCCACATTAGTACAAAGAAATCCAGGCTGCTCAGGTGGCTCAGTGATATAAAGAATCCTTTGCAGGAGCTGCACAAGATGTCGGTTCCATCTTTGAGGTGGGAAGATTCCCTGGAGAAGGAAATGGCAACCCACTCCACCACTCTTGCCTGGGAAAACCCATGGACAGAGGAGCCTCGTGGGCCCATGGGTCACAAAAGTGTCAGATACAACTGAGCAACTGAGCACATAGGCACAAACACAGAAATCTACACTGTTCTTTTCTAATACCTGCATAAAATCTATTTTACAAACATATTTTATTCACCCAGGCTATTGAGCTTATTTCTTTATTGCTATTATAGATATTATTCTATAATATACCACACAAAACTGTTAATCTGGTAAAAATTATTTTACTTTAGACTTTTAATCTGCATTTTTTATTGTGAATGAAGTTGGGTATCTTCTTCATGTTTAAATGTGTTCTCTTTTTTTTTTTAGAAATGCCTATCAAAATTCTTTGCCCATTTTTCCACTAGGTTGTCAGCCTTTCTCACTGAATTTAAATGCTTTATATACTAAGGAACTTAGCCCTGTGTATGATATGTTTTGCAAAAACTTTGGTATATCTTTTTACTCCAGGGTATTTTTTTGGCATGAATGTTAAATTTTTTACATTTTGAATTTTAACATTTTTGTTAAACATAACATATTTAAGCCATAACAATTATGACTTCTGGATTCTGTATCTTGCTTCAAAAGTTTTTCCATATTCTGAGAAATTCTTCCATTTTTTTCTGAGAAGGAGAACTTTTCTAATCAGTGTAAAAATACTACCGGTTACCCTACATAGTCCCATGTTTCATTTGTATCTGTCACATAAAGGAAAAATTAAGAAAGAAAGAAAACAAATGAAAAATATGACCTAATGTAGCATGATTTCATATACCAGCCTGTGAGCAAATATTCCCGCACATTAAAGTCATGTACTAAAGATCACAAATTTCACGGCAATGCTATCACTTACATTCTTGAACTAGTCAACATCTGATAAGCTGCCTTTAATGAGTATAAAGTCTACCCACATTTCATTTCGGGAACTGAAGAAATGTATATCTAAGAGAAGTTAAGTCTGAATATACAGACCTCTTCAATTTCAAAATACTACAAAATTATGACTTGATGGTCTACTAAATTATCTTTTCCCTAGTGAGACTATTAGAATATGGACAGTAGAACAACAGTAAACATTAGTAAAAATGTCACTTCACAATTTATCAGGGCTTCCCTATTGGCTCAGTGGTAAAAGAATCCACCTGCCAATGCAGGAGACATGGGTTTGATCTCTGGGCCAGGAAAATCACACATGCAACAGAGCAGATAAGCCCAAGTGCCCAACTATTGAGCCTGTGCTTAAGAGCCCAGGAGCCTCAAATACTGAGCACCCACAGGCCACAACTACTGCAGCCTGAAAGCCCTAGAGCTCATGCTCTGAAACAAGAGATGTCATCACAATGAGAAGCTCATGCATTGCATCTAGAGGGTAGCCTCTGTTGGCGGCAACCAGAGAAAAGCCCATGCAGCAACAAACCCAGAAGTAAAAAATAAATAAAATTTAAAATAGTTTAAAAATTCCAATTTATGAGATATTACCATTATGGCTAAAACTTTATTTTCTATCTACAGAAGAACATAGAGATGAATATCCAAATGC